GACATAGCAGCAGGTGGGGGCGCTCAGGGTGCAGGTGCTTGGCAGGGCGCGGCTCTGGTAGCTCTGGCCAGTCCTGCACATCACGGCGAGGGGTGCATCCTCTGCTGGGCAGCCTGTATTGCTGACACTCCCTGCACTTGCTGGGCATGGGAAGGAAGCCCTGCATGCTGGAGCTGGCTGCCTTCCCCACCTCCCAGGGGAAGGCACCTGGGGCTTCCCTCCCATGCTGTGCAGCCCCAGCGGGAAGGCAGTTGGCTCCAGCAAGTGGAGCTTCCATCCCATGCCCAACAGGTGCAAGAACCGTACGCATGTGCAGGGAGTGCTGACAATACAGACAATGTGCAGTGCTGTGCACTACCGGATGCCTGCACCAGGCATGAGTGCCCTGAGTGCCTCCACCTGCTGCTGCTGCCACCAGCTGTTTGGGCTGTGTACCATGTGGGCAGTGTGGCGGGGTCCCCACACCCCCCACCCTCCTTCACAGCCACATGCTGCCCAACTGAGCTCCGTGCTGCCGCCGTCCCCCTGGGTGCAGGCTCCGCGCTACCACCAGCCGCAGCCCCACAGTCCATGCTCCTGCTCACCTGCAGCCCTGTCCCCATCCCTGCTGCTTCCCTACCTGCTACCCAAAGCCAGCAGGAAATGGAGGAAGCCGAGCAGGTTCCCAGGGGCTGCAGCAGTGTTAGCAGCAGCCCCACCCAGAAGTTGTGTGCTGATGGGGCTGGACCCTTCCACCCACAATGGTAGGAGTGAGGTGCAATAGGGTACATTTGGGGTGTGTATACATGTGGGCACCTCACTCTCACCCTCATAGGCAGAAGGTCTGAGTGGGCACACATACAACTGACAGGTTGTCTGCATACCAGATTGGGAACCGCTGGACTAGATGACCTACAGAGATCACTTCCAGACCCATTTCTCTGTGATTCTATTACTAAGGAGCCTTTAAATGAACAGTGAAGTGTGTACACTATTCAAATTCCCCTTAGGCAATGATCTCTCAAAGCCCTGACTAACTTTTTTGTATGGCTGCAATTTGGTGACACTTATTTAAATAAAACTTCGCATTTTTGAATAACAAGAATTAAAAAATGGAAACTGCCTCCAAGGATCTCCTCAACTTCTGATTACTGGCATGATGCCCTTTTCCAGGAAATGATCTCTTCCTGCAATGGGTGCTGTAAACTCTGGGTATAGTATCAAGCATCTTTGCACTGACAGCAGGGATGCATCAAAAGAGTTGCAATTAAGGCCCATGCAGAATTCTGCAGTGCTTACAAGACTGAAAGCTTATGTGCACTTAAATGAGTCTCTCAGTTCAGTTATACCAACAAACCACCTCCTGGAAATGCAGTTTTATCCAGCAAATGTTCATTTGCCAACATAGGTTAAGCCAAATCCCTGAAGAAGATAAGCCATACCAGTAAAAGAACATTTTTGCTGGAAGCTCTGCTAGCAATAATAGCTATATCTCAGTAGGGGTGTTACTTTTTTCTCTGCACTCCTCTCAAACTGCCAACACATTTAAGCAAAGCCCGACAGCTGAAGGAAAAAAGGAAGAAAAAAGAGGGAGAAACTCTCTAGCTAGAGAAAAACACCATACTAATTAGAATGCCATTACTCCTTCAGCTATTAACACAGCAAGCAGCCACCTACTTAGTTGACGGCTGAGGCCATCCTTTCTAAGCATATTTACTCAGAATCCTATCAACACAAAATGAAGTCACCTGTGCAAATACAGTCACTCAGCAAAGTTGCTCATTATTATAGAAGTGTAAACCCTGAGTAACTTCACTGATTTGCTTGCATTCCTGAGATGAAATGCCTGAGCTGAAACTCTGCTGCTGCCAGAAAAGAAAAAATCCTCCCATCAACAACTGCTTCCATTTAGTCCTAGAACTTGATCAGTTCTTAAAGTCATTAAGGGAAAAAAGAGCCTGATTTAAGAGGCACGTTTTACTTACAGTGTAGGGCAATAATCCCAAACCTACAGTGTTTCCTGTGTCCACTTTCCACATGAGCTTCAACAGGAGTGCAGGAAACTGCTTTTTGCAGGATAAGGTCCCATTAAAGTGCAAGAAAAACTAAATGCAGAAGACTTGCAGGTTGAAGACAGAAATGGCAGTTACTAATACAAGACTTCTGAAAACAAAGTTCTCCTTGCAAAAAACTCTAATGAAAAATATCCCTGACTGCCTTTCCTATCCTGACCAGACCAAATAAGTCACATTGCTTAAGTATCAGACTTCAAATGCATGTATGTACTTTACTATCCCATCTCTACCCTGCAGCCCTTGCAAAAAAAGAGATTTTTTTTTACTTTAACTTTAATATCGGAAATGCTAAGACTGCTTTCACTTGTTTTCATTAAAGGATTCAAACAGAATCATGGTCACTGAGGTTGATAAAGCTGCTAATACAGTGCTGTTCCCACAAACTTGTCAGAAGCTTAAGAATTTTGTGCCGTTGGATGACCTGACTTCCTTTACTGTAGTGATGCTACTGTGTATGTGCATGAGATTTCTCTACTCATAATAGGTGGTGTGGCAGTAACAGAAAAGATCAGTTTGTTAAAAGAGTCAGTCAGCTGTTTACATTCTTGAATTACATATGGGTTTGAACAGACTGAACAAAGACTGAACTAGGTATAGGTATTTCCTTCCTATAAAGTAATGAACTTAGTAATTAAATTATTTAGTATACAGTTGTCCAAATGGCAGCCTGCAATCTGCATGCTGTCCACAAGGGATTCATTTGTGGCCCCCCTAGACTCCCATCCAGACACTGCTCCCAGACTGGTCTGGGTCCAGGTTTCCCCTCCTCCTGCTTCCTGGACCCTCCCTCCACTGAGCGGCATGGCAGTACAGTCCACAACTTGGAGAGTGGAGGAGCGGGTCAGGGGCCTGTACATTAGGGTTGTCCAAAGCTTCGGTAGTCAGTTTGATTTGGAGGAGATTCAGCCCAATTTGGGGACCAAATCTCTGAATCAGAATCAAGTTGGGAGACCAATTAAAAGCTTTGAATAGATTTGAAGCATCCAAATTGATTTGGAAAAGATTCAGAAAAGATTCAGCCACTTCGAAGATTCTGCCATAAACTAAACAGGCAGCTGACATAGCTGCCTCCAGCTGGTAAGTCTGTTGGGGCTGGTGGACGGAGGGATAGAGATTGGGGCTGGGACAAGCTGTCTAGTCAGGCCAGGGAGGCGCATTACTCAGGGAGGGGAGCGGGGGGGTGCAGGATGTGGGATGGCAGCACTGGGACTGTGGGCTCTGCCCTGCTACCGCTTGCCCAGCCGGAGCTGGAATGGGAGGCAGGATGAGGGCACAGCTCGCTCCAGGTGGAAGGGGGCAAGCGGCAGCAGGGCAGAGCCCCCACTCCCAGCACTAATGCAGGTGCAATCAGAGTGGGGGCTATGCCCTGCTGCTGCATCGCCCCCTGTCCCCCATACCAGCTGGGTAAGCAGCAGTAGGGCATAGTCTCCAGGGCTCCCCCCGCCGGGGCAGAGGCAGGCACAGCTGGAGGAGCCACGGGAGAAGCCTCCATGGCTGCCCTGCCCAGCCCTAACTTTCTGGCACTTAAAAAAAACCTCTGCATTCACCGGCTCTGGCAGCAGCGACTGGGGCCTCTGAGGGCTTGTGGCAGAGCCCTCCCATGCAATGCTGGGCAGCGGTAGGCAGCAGGGTTCATCCCCCCCCCCAGCTTGGCATCCGCACAGCAGCTGCTCCATGGCATGGGTGCAGCGTGGCTCAGCAGCATGCCACACAGTCTGGGAGCTGGGGCAGCTCCAGTAGTCAGCTGGAACTAGGCTGGGGCTGGGCAGGGCAGCCATAGGGGCTTCTCCCGTGGCTCCCCCTGTCTGTGGAGAGGCAGGCACGGCTGGATGAGTCGCAGAAGAACTTGTAGTTGCCTCGCTATGCCTGCTTCTCCCCAGGCGAACCACATCACCAAATCTCTCTGAATCAGCGCTGAATCTTCCAAAGCCAATTCGACCGAATCCATTTGCGACAGTAATCTGAATCTCCAAATTAACCAAATCAGAATCGAATACTTCCCTATTCGCACAGGCCTACTGTACATGTAGCACTTTGCAGGGGGAGTACTTGCATATAAGGGCAGGTGAGGGAGTGGACTGCACATGTATAGCATGGTGCAGCAGTTCGAAGGGGAGAGGAAAAGCAGTGCAGTCCAGTGCAGCGTAGTGTGGGGGAGAATCCATGTGCAGCATAGTGCAAGAGGGGGAGCTGGGGACACCTGGCCCATGCCGCTGTGATGTGGCTTACAGCCTCCAGCCACTTACAAATTGAACAGCTTTAATCTGATATATTTACTTCAATGCATGAAATGCATTAATCCAAAGCTAACCTAATACCTCCAAAAAGAAAAATATGCTCTGTTGATTGGAATTAATTTACGAAATCCCAAGAGAATTTTTAGATAAAAATACATTGCTCTCAGTTACACTTTTCCCACATGTAACACCATAATAAAGATGGTTTGTTTTTATCATAAAGGAAGTGACAGCCATAAACTTACACTGTCAGCACAGCAAAGCTTCTGGACAAGGTCTTCCATTGGAATGGTAGGGTGCTGATAATTGGGAACTGATGTCTCATCCAGTGCTTGACCCAATGACTGCCTTGGGGTTAAAGTAAAGAGTCTTGACTTAAATGGAATCCCAGGTACTGACGAACCTGCTATTTGTGCAACATCCTGAAGTGAACCTATACTTTCTTTTTCAGAAAATTCTACCATGGCATGATGACCCTAAAGCAATAAAAATTGACAAGACATGGTAAGATATACAGACATGTACAAAGTCTAGCGAATTAAATTAATATTACTGCTACACCAGTCCAGGTGACTATCTATAAATTACATACTAATTCCCACATTTACGCCTGTTGCACACGTTTTCACAAGATAACAAAGAAAAAACATTGAAGATATGGCATTTGGGGCAGAGTATTAAACCCCAAAATAATTTAGTAAACACATACTTATCTTTGCTGCTATCAGATTTATAAAACAGATAGTTGCATCAGTATATTTCATCATTAGGGGAGCAGACTGAATTGTGTGAAAGTTATTGATTCTAGACTGCAACCCAAGAGAGTGACCTACAATTTTATTATGGGCATTATCATGGGAATGGAAATCAAATCTTGACACAAAAATTGGAGGAGAGACTAAAAATCCTTATTTCAAGAACTGTAAAACTTAGGAGATAATACATACACACTACATCAAAGACACTCAAATCCCGACAGCAAAGCTTTGGGAGTGTTCACATTTTAAGCCCAAAAGGCATCAGAATCCTACTTTCTTGCCACTTCTGCCAAACAGAGCAAGGGTTCTGTTACCACCTGGCAACCAACAGAAGATGCACACAGACACTCCCACACCTTCAGCTGTCCATACACAATTTTGCTGCCATTCGCCATTCAGCAGCTGGGGTTTCAGAAGATGTTTCACTTTCTGGTAGCAGAGCTGTTGGGCAAAGCCATCAGGAAAGCATAAATACAAGCACTCTAGCAGTGGCAGCTGCTGGTTACTGCCAGAACTTCCCACTGTCAGTTCAGGAAAGCATAGACACTCTAAGCTAGGGGTACTCGACCTTCTGACCCAGCAAGCCAGGTAAGTGGCATGAAGCTGGTCCACAGGCCAGATCCAGGGTGGGATCAGTCTGTAGGCATGATCTGCTACACTGGATCCATGCACAGAGAAACACCATGAACCATAACAATTGAATTTATGCTTCCACTGCTCCCCCACTGCCAAATTTCTGAACTCACAGGGAGCCCCATGGACTGAAGGACAAGGCCCTGCAATCCACAAGTTGAGCACCACTGGTCTAAGCTATGGAAACTAGCCCACACACTGACATTACTTTTTGCTGGAATCTGCTTCCAGCAATAGATTTTAGCTTATAGTATCCCCAACTACTTACATGACCTTTATAAAAGAAGTAGTTGTTAATTCTTCCGTGATGGGACAAATACTGGAGAATACTTTTCTCACTGATTCCAGTTGGGTAGCTAATTAAAACAGTCTTTTGTGCTTGCTCTAATCCTTCTGCTTGCACCTCAGTAAACGTCTTGATTCTAGCACTGACTTCAGAATCTGTATGGAGAGGAAAAATAAAGTAAACGTCCCCTGTAAATACCCGAAAACTCTTCCATGGCTGTCCCACTGAAAAAGCAAGTGTTGCATTTATGCAATTTACACACAATAGGCTCTCACACCCAACCTACCCTCAAACCTAGAGCTTGCACCTTCAAAGAAGCACAACACTCACTTCTCTTTTTCCAGCTCTTTCCCTCTTCCCCAAAGGACTCTGCCTAACATTATATTTTCACTTGCCTATCACAGCCTGCTGCTGGCTTGATCCCAGGCTCTGGCAGAAGCTACATGTGTACACAACTTTGAGTACATGCAGGAGGCAAAAAAAAGTAGATATACAGGTCCTCAGGTGCACTGTGGGCTTTCCTTGCACCAGCTTGGGTCCTTCTGGGAAAAAGCTACTACGCTACTAGAGGCCTCCCCCAGAACCCCAGCTCTACCCTGCCTGAACACAGACCTAACGCCCGGAGCCCTGCAATTTCTCACCAGTGCCAGAAAGTGAGTGATGAGCAGCGCTGCCCAGTGTACAATAATTACTGTAGCTGTACAATAATTTCAAACCTTGTGCAATGTACAATCAATAATGGTAAAACCAAAACATACGACAATTGTTGAGATAGCTCATGGGTGCAGCATACACAAAGCCCAAGTCACCCTCAGGGAGCATGAACTGAACTGAACTGAATTGACTTCCCGGTCTGCTTCAGCACCTTCTTACCACCGATTTTCTGAAAATAAAGAAATGCTTCAACTTCAGTGATGCACTTCTCCCTCCCTGGCAACCAATTATGAGCAATATGAGGTCAGTAAGAAAACGTGTTTGCCTATTTTCTCCGTGCGACAGATTTTCAGCATTAGCATCATTTTGAGACAATCATTTCATATTTCAGGCCCGGCAGCGCTGGTGCCGAGGAGGCCCCGGGGAAAACAGGGCCCACGCCTGCCCCGCACAGCCCTACTCCGCTCGCTGGGCGGCGGATGCTTCGGGCGGGCCCAGCCGCCCTCCCTCACACACCTGCTTCCTCGCCACCAGTGGCCTGCGACTGCCCCTGCACCACGACTTCGGTGGAGATGCGCCGGGCCTGACCGTGGCCCGGGCCCCGCGCGGCAGGGAAGCGAGGCCGGCACCGCAGCAATGGCGGCAGCCACCACATTGGAGCAGCCATAGCCGTGGGGAGGAGGCGCAGTGCGCAGGCGCCAGCCGAGCGTGTACGGCGCGGCTCGAGGGTCAAGCCTTGCCTAGTTGCGCGCGGCTCTGGCGGGGTGGGTGTTGCTGGGGAGCGGCGGGAGCACGGGATCAAGCCGGGGCTTGGGAAGCGTTGTGACTGGCTGTGGGCTTACAACGCAAGACTGGCTCTGGTCCTTTTTTGTCATTGAAACAGGAGGGGAAACTAAGAGCTGGCACTTCCTAAGGGGCACCTCGAGTATGCAGGGGTTGGGAGCCGGGCTTTAGGCCCAGAGCAAAGCCCTGACCCTGGGATTGCTTGTGGGTCATAAAGCCAAGCCAGCGCGTGAAGGTGTGGAGCACCGGGCCCCGAGCAGTGTCCCTGAGGCCTGTGCTGCACAGTCACTGTGCAATAAATGTAGACCCGCCACATGTGTAAAGTGATTATCACGCAAGAAAAATGACTTTCCAGCTATAAAAAAGTGCCAACCAGCTATAAAGTTAGTGCTTGAGAATGTGTGACAGCTCCAGTGCTGTGGCAAGGAAGTTTGGCTCCTGGGGCAAAGCCCTCAGCGGCAGCCTACCTTCGCCCAGGGGATGCTTGCCCAGGAGTGCACGCGGTGCAGAGAGAAACCCTCCTCCAGTCCCCACGACCCCCCAAGTGAGCTGCTCGCAGCTCCATCCCATGCTCTGTGCCAGCAGGTCAGCGCGTGTTGGCACCCCTTTGCTTCAGCGCCCAGGGCAGTCGCCCCACTCGCCTTCCCTTCCCCCCCCCACCCCTTTTCTACACATCTTGGAGGACATGTTTAGTTACTATTTAGGTGTGGACAGAGTAGTGTTTGAAGCTCCTTAGAGATCTCCGAAACGCTTCAAAGGGCAAGCAAGCAGGTATACACACCCTTTAAAATAGGGGTGGGCAATTATTTTGGGCGGAGGGCAGTTTACTGAGTAATGGCAAGTCATCAAGGGAGGCATGACAGGCAGCCAGGGGCAGATAAATATTAATTTTCTAAATTTTGTAGGGGGCCCAGGGGCTGGATAGGATGGCCTGGTGGGTCGCGTTTTGCCCACCCCTGCTTTAAAGTGTTCTGAAATTGGTGGAAGCACTCTAAAAAGAACCCTGAAGAGAACACGTGCTATTCTGGAGCACTTCCTGTTTCATGTGTGCACGCTACACTCCCCAGAGTGCATCAGAGGACAGCTTCATCTTCCAGCATCCCACTGACCTATGTTCCCCCAACCCCATGAAGACAGGGGAGAAAGTGGGGTAGACTGTCCGTAAGTGCTCTCCTGTGGACTCTGCCTTCACTCTCTCAGGGCCCCTGCCTTAGGAGACTGGAGACCCACCCCCAACTCCTTTGGAGGGGGTGGGGGGAAGGGAAAGTAGGGGATGCTCTTGGGAAAGCAGGGGCAGAGCGCACAGAACATTGAGTGACTGTCATACTTACCAATTTGCAATTTGGAGATTATACCAACTGTTCTGTAGTTATCTTAACCTTTACAAATTAGCATGTTTGTAGACAAAGAATTATATAGAATCTGAGACTGGGCGCATCTACATGAATGCTTAATGCACAGTAGCCTAATAACACTGTGCAGTAGTGTGCCGGGCAAAAATCGTGTTAACACTCTACTGCACAGTAGTATTAGGCTGCTGCACAGTAAGCATCATTCAAAACCCATGTGCTGGCACTACTGCACAGTAACTTTAGTTAGTACTTTGCATTTAGATTTGTTCTTACATGGGGTATGTGACCAGAACTTTCAGCCTTCTCCACTTGTCTGTAAAAACTCTATGTTTTTCTTCCAGAATTGTATGGCAGGTTCTTCATAAATGCACTGATGAGCTAAGGAGAGAAACTCAACTTCCTGTGAGGCTGGTCTAAAAAAGAAAATGATCTTATTAAACTTAACAGTGCGCTTAAGAAAATTAACAACTGCACTAGGTCTTTAACAATAATATCTAAGGTCTGCCTGTATAAGAGCTACTGTATAATTAAAGATATGTTATTCAAACTCATCCACCCACCCTAAATCTCTGCTTATTTCACCCCTCCCTATTTGCTAGCATTCATTCTTCCTTTTATTTCCTTTCCCACTGCCTGTGTTTCTCCCAAGGTCCCTTCTTGAATGTCCACTTATTTCTTTCTTCCTCTCATCTTTACACTTTCTTCTTGCACTTCAGAGAGATCTTTCTTTGATGGCATATCAAGTGCAGTGATTCTCAACCAGGGTGCCACAGCACCATGGGGTGATTTGAGTTCCTTTCAAGGATATAGCAGGTGCTATGCAGTGTTAGTACTGCTGGTGTGCAACCATGATTCATAGGATAAACCCAGAGATTTCAGGCAAGAATTCATAGCATTAAAAACATTCTGCTCTGCTGTGGTTTGTCTGGGTTCTTTGCACCAGAAGAATTGCTCCATAATTTTTCTGTAGTTAAAACCAAAGTGAAAAGTAAGAGCTGGCATTTTCTGGAGGCTACCTTGAGCCAAACAGGGTGCCAAGTCTGAAAAAGTTGGGACCACTAAAGTAGTCCGATCAAATAGTACATAAATAAAATAAGACAAACTTTCTGAGGTGAAGATTTGAATTCCAGTTAATTTATCATCTTTCCTTCTGAGGACTGGAACCACATTCGTCTGCGTGTACACAGGGCCAAGTCCACTCTTACAGTATTTTGTAATGCATTAATAAATAGGAATGGCCTAGATTGGGGGTGTCAAACTCATTTTGCCCTTAGGCCAGATTTGGGCTTCAGGGACAGATGCAGACCCACCTCTGGGGGTGGGGTGAGCAGCAGAAGGGACGGGCAAGTAGCAGAAAGTGGCAGGGCCAGCAGTGGCAGGGTAAGGCAGCCCCACTGCCAACAGGGCTCCATACCCAAATTCCGTGGCTCCTTCCACAACTGCCCAGGCCAGATTCAGGCAATGGGCTGTGTCTGACACCACTGGTCTCTAACTCAAGACTCCCTCCCATTCTTGTTCACACGTTCCCCTCCCCATTGTTGTGCTCATTTCATTCAGCCTCCCCAACAGAGGCCTGGGTGTGGGCCATCTCACCTTTGTTGATACAGTTAACAAAGCTATTTAAAGGCAGGCTGCTAGAGGTCCCATATGCAAGCAGATCTTTTCCTTCACTGTCTCTTTAACCCATTCTTTTCCCCTTGTGTAAGTTAGCCAAAGGGGAAACTGAGGCATGCAACATTATTGCAACTTAAACACAGTTTGCACAGAAAGATTGCAATAAAGCCCACAGCACATCACAAGGGGTTTAATTCCAATTGCCTGTATGTACTGAAAAGAAGAAACACTGAAGTTTAGAGTGGATTCTTGGTTTCCCTGAGGACAAGACTTCAGTCACCAGCATTTTATGTAGAATGTTTATAGCTATAAATATATGGAAAATATCACTCTGGGCTCATTAACACGACCAGGCTCAGTCATCACTTGCAAAACCCAATGACATGCTGGAGGAAGTGGTTTTGGTGGTCCTTCTAATAAAGTACTCAATAGAAAAGAGGGTGTTAAGTGGTACTGTGCTGCAGAGCTGCTATGTAGAGACGATGTAAAATGTAGCCCTGAACATTTGTTTGGAGAGTTCGCTTCATTGCACACTGTTTTACTTTAATCTTGTATCTGTTTTTACAAGTTATCTTGTTTTTATTGTAAACTGCTCTAAGCCTTTTGGGGGAAGATAACATATACATCTAATAAATGAAATAAAATGGATTTTGCAGCAATTACAACACTCGCATCCAAAACTAAAGAGCGTGAGTCCCTCTACCAAATTATATTTGGTCAACTCCAAAAACAGCTTTGCCTGTTGTAACACCTAACTTTTTGATGCTCTGCCAGATAGTGGAACCCACAGCGCTGAGTTACCGGCTCAGACTCCCTGTGCAACACAAGAGAGAATTAAGTACCTGACTGGGAGTCACAGGAGCCAGTAATGTCAGTCATATCAACTAGCCAGCAGGAAATGCCAAACAAATGAGAGGGCCCTTGCTTAAGCAACTGGGAGGTGAGAAACCTGTTTGCAAATCCTGAAATTTTGGGATTTGAAAACTAATGTCTTCAAAAGAGAGATCACCCACATCTCTGGAGCGCTTTTGTTCATGAGCTGTAGGGTCACTTTCTCACTTTTTTGCTTTCTCTCTGGCCTAAGAAATGGTTACTTTTTTTATACGTCCTAGAATAGCTTTAACCAGAATGATTGGAAAAAGACTCACCCCAGCTTAGGGATCTGCTATGGGATATAAGAGGCTCCCTGTCCCAAGTCAGGGCAAGCTGGCATTTGAAAACATCTCTCATGTCTCTACAGACAACTTTGTGTATGGGTGCTATTGGTGTGTGTGTGTGTGTGGGGGGGTGTTATTCTTTCGTATTGTAAACCTCAACCCGCATTCCCTTCCCTGTTGTTTTCTTCACTGTTCCAAAGCAATAGTTGAAGACCCAGCCCTGTGCACGCTTTCCCTTCCCCAGTAAGAGGAGAGTCTTTAGCACCGGGCAGGTCAGCTTGCTTCTTCTGAGTTACAAACGGGTAGGCATACATCCAGAGGCCCTGACACCTTAGAGATGGCAACCACCTTTAGCATGGAGTGGACTTCCCTAGCCTTTAGCCTGCCTGCCTTTCCCTGGAGCTACAGGTGTCCCCCCCTCCACAGGCAAATGCTCTTTGCCGTAGACCACTGGCTCAGCCTTGCGGCCTCGGGAAGGGGAGTGCTGCCTGGATTGGGCCCCGCAGTCAAAGCAGGTGGGACGAGTCTGTGCTAGGGCCCTGAACAGCTCCAAGGTGCCCGTGCTCTTGGTGCCTTTTTTTGCATGGCCTCTGGCAGAGACGCTCCTGCAAGTGCACCAAGGGCCAGGCCGCAGCTGAGCAGGGAGGGATGAAAATCTCGGTGCTGGACTTGGGTGCCGAAAGCCCAGATCCAGCGGGATTTAGGCGCCTAACTAGAAGCGACGGATCCCTGTGGCTCTGGCTTGAAGGCCCCGGCGCCCGCCCCTCAGCCGGGCTCTGCCCTGCCCAGGAGGCGAGGGGGCCGCGCTGGGGAGTGCGGAGTTCCCGGCGCTTGCACAGGGCAGCGCCCGCGCGGGTTCCTGTAAAGGCAAACAGAAACCGGCGGCGGCGGCGGGAGGTGTCTGCCCCGGGTGAGTCACGGCCGGGCGGCTCTCCCTGCGCCCGCCCCGCCCCGCCCCGCCGAGTTTCCGAGCCGCTCGGCGGAGCC